GCTCAGTGCATGAGAAATATCTCGCCTCACTCCCCTCCGTGGATCCTGGTCGTTGCCATATGTGAGGTTAATGGGTCTGCAGAAGCGTGCCACTTTCTCCTCGCACAGTGCACGCGAGCTGGGATGTACAGTAGTGATGATCGGGTGCTCTCTCCCGGCTCGCCCACGTTCTGAGCGGCCACCCACAGACCTTACCATAGCTGAACGCGCTACTGGTCTCTGCCCCTGTTCTCTACCTTTGTATGTTCACTGCTGATTCTGGTATCAAGCTAGTGCTGCGCCTTTACGCGCCGGAGTCCCAAAGGGCGCTTGGGTATCGTTACCCGTTCCGCATGCTCTCAAGTGCTGAAAGTGTTATATTGTACGCTGCCTAGCTGCCTACCCATTCTTCTTGCCCATGGCAAGGAGCGTCCCGGAGGTGAGTGTACAGTCCCTTTCCAAGTGTTCCATGTATCTTGTCACCCGTTTTTGTCTCCTCTGCCTTCTACCGCTCCTTTACAGTCTGAACATTGTTTGAACTGCAGAAAATGTTCTAGCAGAACGTCGGGCCTTCCGTTTACAGTAGAAACTTGGGTTAATCGCATTCGTAACAAAGTGTTTGCAGGTTCTTGACCATTTCTATCAGCATACATTTCTCATTGAATTGTCTCGATATTAACATTGAAATAGTTACAAGTACAATAGATTTACATATACCAATCGTTATCGTCTGACTTTTTCAGCTTCGGAGGCGGTTTGTGGCCTTTTGCGCATACACCCGCAATGCATTCGCCGACGAAACAAATCTCCGTGCCTTCGAATCCCGAGCATTTGCCTCCGAAACGGATTTTCGACATGCACTGTGCCTCACCATTCTTCCGAATATGACAGAAAAGATACCTGAAAGTTTCCTTACATTAAAAAAATCTTCCTGGAATTCCCGGCCAATTCAGGATGTTGTTCTTGTTCTCTTGTTGTCTCAATGAAAGTCGTCTATCCAAAACCCACTTCGATCTGCAATTGGGATGATTTCGCGTGCAGGTGGGTCGTGGAGCGAATTCGTACATTTCGTCCGTGTAGCCATTTGAAAGTGCTTCGCGGTTAGTCAACGGCTGCAGGCAGAATCTCGCGATCAGTAATTAGACGGGAAATTTCAGAACTCACGTGAAGCATTGGCATAATGCTGTCAATGTTGTGCCATGGTGGGAAGCATCTCTCATCACTTGGAGGGTAGTCCCTTTCCCGTTCGGTTCGACTCTGTAACGATACTGAAACAGCCGTACAGTGATACACATGGATTTGAGGCCGATGTGCTCGCGTTCATTTAATGTTCCACGCCCTGTCTGGACACCGTTGAGCCCCCCCCCCCCCATAAGAATACGGAGTACCTAGTTTCGCAGTTTCGCACCACAAAAGAGAGGATGGCGCCGTCCGCTAGTGAAGAGTTGGTAGCTCCGCCCACAGGGCAGCCACGACGCCCAAGTTCATCTAAATGTTGCATGATGGTTCTTCAGCTGCTGCTTCTCTCCACGTCGAGTGGTGAGAGTGAGGTGATAAGGGAAAACAGCTGATATCAACAAGTGAGAACTCGTGCGATCGCACCTTCTCTTCGCCTTGAGCACGTACAACTCCACTTCAGCATGGGGTTCTATATAGAGCCTTGCCTATAACTTCCTTTTGAAGTTGTTTTATATGATAACTGCTGTTTAACGCCGCAGTACGCGCTTCCGAAAGTTATCACAAGAATGCTGAGTTGTGGGCAAAAGTCGTGCCCCAGGCGGGAGTCGAACCCGCACCTCACGCTTTCCGGGTGAGTGCGCTATTTAGTTTGGGGACGGAGCTAAATGTGTTAAACTATCTGTCGATATAGATGACATGTGTGAAAAACTACTATAACTGTATATATAGTGGAGTGTGGTGCTGTCCCGGAGTCTCATTACTTATCTGAATGTGTAATAACAATGTGAAACTCCAAAAATTTACTCTAAAGTTTTTTGGAATAAATTTTTGGAGTTTCACATTTTTCTTCATTGACTTTCGTGGCGCTATTTACACTTTATAGATTCTAATCGGACATTTCTACCACCATATTAAAGAGCATATTGAAATACTATTA